GAGCCTCGACAAACAAAAAATGTAGAAGCTGCGGGGCCCTCTAAATGTATATATATTAAAACACTTAGAATTCGGGACAGGCCGTTTAGCGAATTTTACGGCCTTCCCCAAAATAACAATACGCTAGTTGCGTTAGGCACGTCTTTAATAATTTATCTTCCGTAATTCGGGTGCACATTATGTGACCCAAATCCAAATCTCAACCAAGTCGAGATATGTCAAACAACCACGGATGCATTGATGTAACGTGGTTCGAGGTATGTTTCCACGACGTTGCAATTCTCGTAAAATAACAACAATAATTGATAAAGCGGTAAAAAGTTAAAATTTGCACATAAGTTCGCATTCGTATAAAATCAGATAATCAAGCCGAATATAATAGTTGAGCGACCGTGCTAGAACCACGGAACTCGGGAATGCCTAACACCTTCTCCCGGGTTAACAGAATTCCTTATCCGGATTTCTGGTACGCAGACTGTAATATGGAGTCATTCTTTTCCTCGATTCGGGATTCAAATTGGTGACTTGGAACACCCTAAATCTCCCAAGTGGCGACTCTGAAATAAATAAACCAATCCCGTTTCGATTGTCCTTTAATTGGAAAAAACTCCCCTGCACCCTCGCGGGTGCATAAAAAGGAGGTGTGACACATATCACCTTGTGAAGATGCTTGGAGAATTTTTAAATTCCCAATACACCATAGAGAACCACCTGTAGAAAGGCTATCATTTCACCTACCAAATAATCAGACGGTGATATTTTCAGATGATGATCCAATTGATGCAGTTGTCAATAGACCAACCGTTAAGGAATCTATGTTTTTAAGCTAGTTTGAAGCTAATAAGACATTTCGTGAAGCAAGAGAATTGACTTATGCAGAATTCCCTCTAAAGTTTGTGTGGAAACAAAACCTAAAAAGACGGGAAAGAAGAAGAATATCAGCATTTTCTATTGGCAGAATATTCTTTGTTCCACCTGGCTCTGGCGAGCAATATTACCTTAGATTGTTGTTGAATGTCATTAAAGGTCCAAAGAGCTATGAGGATTTAAAAAAGTCAACGGTTGTGATCATGAGACTTTTAGAGATGCATGTTATGCTCTGGGTTTATTAGATGATGACAAGGAATACGTGGATGCTATAATGGAAGCAAGTAATTGGGGAATGACATTATATCTTAGGCAATTATTTGCTATGCTACTTTTATCAAATTCAATGTCATGTCCAGAAAGTGTTTGGCAAGCAACATGGCATTTACTATCAGAAGATATCCTTCATGAAGAAAGAAGAATATTGGATCACCCAGGTACTTATTTAATGCTTACAATTTTGAGTTATGATATGATACTTATGAAGGATGGCCGATTTGCTTAACTTTATTAATTAATTTTCTTTTTAATTACTTCATTCATATTAATCTGATTGTTCATTTCTTTCTACTTTTTTATTTTCCAACTTCATTCAAAATTCACTCAACAACTTAATGTTCGTTAAACAATATTTTGTTGTGTTGTTTTTTTACTATAGTGTTGTGTTTAGCTCATAGGAATAATATTGGTACTAATTAATGTACTTTTCGGACATAAATACTAATAGAAAATTAATGCATGGTATTTAATGCCCTAAAGCTTCGGAAAAGCCTATAATCGCTCTTATGCATTCTCTACTTTAATTGAAAATATTGCAATTAATTTTTTTTGGATAGCAAAATTGATTTTTTTGATACATTACGAATAATAAAATGCATCTTCACATTATTAGTAATTTTTAAAAATAAAATGAACCACATGGTTTGGACTATATTATTACTTCAAATTCTATATACGTTAAATGTGCTTTAAATTAACGTAAACTACTATTTAACACTATGCTTTTCGTTAATTTTATTATTAATTTGATGTGGCTAAACTAAACTTTACAATTTCATTGTATTTAATTCTTTTATATTTTAATGTTATTTCAGAAGCTGACCTAACAGATGAAGAATTGAAAAATCGTTGTTTGCAAAAGCTTGAATTTTTTTTGAAAGGTTGTGGAAGAAGTTTTCAGGATTTTCCAACAATGCCAAGGCCTGTTTATAATATGGAAGAAGTTGACAACAGTAACAGATTAATACGGGATGAATTGCGTTATAATAAACGCACTTTGACAGAGGAGCATCAACAATTAGTAAAGAATTTGACAGATGAGCAAAAGTTAGTTTATGAAAAAATAATAAGTGATGTGAATGAAGAGAAAGGTGGATTTTTCTTTTTATATGGTTTTGGAGGAACAGGCAAGACTTTTATTTGGAGAACTCTATCTTCTGCCATAAGATCTAAAGGAGATATTGTGTTAACTGTTANTGAAGAAACCAGTTTTTACACATGGACAACTATATGTTGCTCTTTCTCGGGTGACAAGCAGAAAGGGATTAAAAATTTTGGTTTGTGATGATGATGGGCAAATAACTAATGAAGCTACAAATGTTGTATTTAAAGAAGTTTTTCGAAATTTAGTCTGACACTCGAAAGATAATCAATGTCTTTTTTGAGGTTTAAGTACTACTTTTGTTGCTGAGATTCATTAACCAAGTGCGACAATAGTTGTTGATAAGATATCTGAAACATGTAATACGCTTTACTTTTTTGTTCTTTTTTTATATCTTTCTCTATTTCTCTATTCTATATATAAATTAACATTTCATAAAATGTTGCAAATACAGATCTGTCAGGATTTGCCATAACATGGATTAACGGGACTTCTTACATCGCATTTGTGAAGAAGCACAGAATGTCATGTACGAATTTTTTCTTTTTCCCTTTCATGTTCAGTTATGTTAATTACAACAGAATATATGCTGGATTTTACAATATTCTATTCACAATGACTAAGTAAATGCAATTTGTTTTCGTTTTCTTATTCTCTGCATTTTTTAGTTTTGTAATGTCGATTTCAAAGAGGGGATTGTCACTGGAGATTAAATTTGGCCACTGCTTCAAATTTGGCATTAGTACTGGAGATGAAGTTCAATGTCAGCTTTCAAGGTGATTGGATATCTACCTTCTGTGTGTACTTATGATATCATATCCTCATTATAAGATAGCTAGATGTTTTCCCTCTTATTTTTCTAAAACATAATTAACATTTTAATTTTAATTCGCGCCGTCTTTTCCATTCACAAACCTTATTTTGCTAGGTGGAGTGATGTCGTTTAATGATGGTGGTCCTTCATTTAAATCCCAAGCCCAGATTCTCAAAGGTCCATTTCTCCATTTTCTATATTTAATTTCTGAATATTACATTATGCGGCATTAAATTGAGTGAAGAACATGTGTAATTCTCTGTGTCGCTACTTCGCGATTCAATACATGTGCTTTTATGTCATTTTTAATTGTTAAAAGTAGTATATTGAAGATTAGCTGCAACAAAATGCTATAAAAATGTAGACGATAACTTGCTCTGGCATCCCATAGAGAATGAGGATGGGGAATTATGCATTTGCATAAGTAATTACCTGTGTATCAAATAGTATTGTTATTTTTATATCAACGAAAGTAGTTACCTATGTCATTATGTATTTACTTTTGCTATTTTTATTTTTGAGCTGGAAGAAGCAGCATTTTGGACTTTTTTGCAGATGTTTTGGGGCTGAATTTAGGTGTGCTTTCATGGATATTTGCAGGTCGTTTTACTGCTGCGTTTTCGAAGAATTTAAGCTGCGTTCTTGGCTGATTTTCAGAAGTTACGGGGGTACGGGGGCTATTTTGAGTGATGTTTTGGGGTGAGTTTTGCCGCAGATCTTATGGCCATTTTTCGCTAAGTTTTGACTGCTCTTGGTCCAGATTTCTGGACTGTTTTTGAGCGATTTCGGCAGTAAGTTTCAGCTGGAATTTTTTGACTATTTTTGGGTGAGAAAGTTGCAGCGTTTTGGACTGTTTGCTGCTGATTTTCACAGCTTTTTGGAGTATTTTGGGGCTGTTCTAAGGTGGAGTTTGCAGCTGGTTTGTGTGGGTTTAAGGTGGAAGAAGAAGGTTGTGAAAATGAACGATTTTTGTGCTCCTCAAACAGTTGTTGTTGCTGCATTTTTACTGCTACAGATTGGTGTTTTGGGTTATGTTTTGCTGAGGTTTTTGGCTGTATGTTTAATGGAGATTTCATGATTTTTTCTCACAATATCTCGAGGGATGATTCTTCTGTATAGTATATGCATCTTTCGAGTTCAAAGAGTAAGCTTACGTGCAATAAGGTTTATATGTTGGGTTGCCTTTGCACTGTGTATGCTGAAGTATTTATCAGAAGTACAATCGAGTTTAGTTTGTTTCACCTATACTTATTACTTACTGTGTTGTAACATCTTCCTCGCATTATCCCTTGCTTAATTTACATCATTGTCTCTCTTTTTTTCTTTGTATATAGAGTCTATATTCAAGGACAAGTGCTGATTCACATTACGTTTTGGTTAGTGATGTCATTCAATTTATCTATGCAGATTACATCTTCATTTAGAGCAATGGGTCCTTTAATTAATTTCATCCATACTTTTGACCATCCTTGCGAACAGTTCCATCTTTTTTGGTAGAGTTCATCACACCAATTGCGAAGGTGAATTTTTTTACCTTTTCTTAAATAGTCAAAGTACCTCAGTCATGTTCAGAAGTAGTAAACACATTAGTCTACAAATTGCTATTTTGGAGGATACTCATTAAAGTGGGAAGATACTGTTATTTTTTAACATGTCTGAGTATGAGTCATGAAGATAGAGTTTAGGTGCCAATTGTACAACAGTTATTGAGGAGTAGGAATGAAATGCTTTTATTATAAAATGCAACGTCAATATATGAAAAGAAAGGAAACTGACTGAATCCATTCTCGGCGAGGAAATTGAAAGTGTGATTTAATTTGTCTTTTGGTTTTTATTTTTTATTTTTTTAATACGGTCAATAAATTTAGTCTGCAATATATATCCGTTTCTAATATTTCTTCCGCATTACTCAAATGTCTAAGATGTTTTCATATACTCATATTTTGAGTGATAATCGATCTACTCATTTTTTTTTTGTCTTTTACTGTTGTGATACAACAAGATTCTTTCTCAATATGCTAACTCCTAAGTTCTACTACTTCATTATTTGATTCTGTTCTTTTTTACTTTGATAGGAAATGTATGATCAAAGTCACTAATACATTGCTTATGACTTCTCCAATTAATGTTCGAATTGTTAATTTGTTCTCACGGCTGGGAAAATTTGTTATTTGGTTATCTGATCGAAATGAGGAGCAAGGGAGAAAAGATTATTCATCATGTAGAGCTCTGCAGTTTGGTGGTAGAGTAATTACCTGTTATCAAATATTGTTATTTTCATATCAACAAAAGTAATTACCTGTGTCATTATCTCTTTAGTATTGACATTTTTATTTTTGCGTTAAACCATTGATTAGAGGTGCAATATTTTTGTTGATTATTACTTGGTTACTTAAGAGAATTGTAGTGTCCTATTATGGACTTGAGTATTTCTCGAGGGATGATTTTTTCAGGCTATTGTTTAGCCATTATATTTGCTATTGCACATGTTCTATTTGTTGTGTGTGGCCTACTTTGAAGGATGGGAATTTATCAAGATTAAAGCCACTATGTGGTTTCTGTTGGAGCTACTTAAAATAATATTTTGTGCAAGTTGGTGCACCCATATTAACCTTCGTTCGAGACAGGAGCTGAAATAAGATTTTAACCAAATGTGATGTCCTTTGTGTTTCTACTTGAGTCAAAAGTTTATGCATTTTCATGTGGATTAATCCTTTTAAAGCCAAATATTGACGTATCATTTCTCAGGTATGTTAAAATAGCTTTTGAGGATTGATGGTCCCTAACAACAAATTCATAGACATAACCCGATAGAATTCACCTATTTTTCTTTTCATTTAATTTTTTTATTGCAGTCATTAAATATAGTCTGTAATATGTATCTCTTTTTAATATTTCTCTATGCTCTTTTTTGTTTAAAATGATCCGCGCATCGCGCGGGTAAGTATACTAGTTTTGTAGAAAAACGCAGACACGACAACCAAGTCATACGAATTACAAGAGGAAGATTATTCCGTGTTTTTAGATATTTGTAAAATTGTGTGCGCTTTATTTGTGAGAATGAAAAAAAAATAGACAGGAATGAAATACAAAGCGTTGCAGGAGTTATCAGAGTGTAGGGATGGCTCGACATAATATGTGCCTAATAGCCCGTTTGGTCAAGCTGTAAAAATCAGCTTATTTTGAGAAGTGCTTTTTTTTCAAAAGTGCTTTTCTCAAAAGTATTTTTGGTGAGAAGCAGTTTGTGTTTGACTAATTAGTTTGAAAAGCACTTCTGAGCAGCGATTAGTGTTTGACCAAGCTTTAAAAAACTACTTCTAAATATATTTTTCTCAAAAGTGCTTCTCAAAAAAGTGCTTTTGGAGAGAAACTACTTTTTTCTGCTTCTCCAAAACTGCTTTTGCTTCTCCTCAGAAGCACTTTTTTTACTTTCAAAAGCTTGGCCAAACACCTCAATTTTTGGCCAAAAGTGTTTTTGGCAAAAAAAAAAACACTTTTGGCCAAAAAGAAGCTTGGCCAAACATACTATAAGGCGAAAATAAAAGTGAGGCTTTACATTTTTTTATAATTTTTTTACTCTTATAATTATCGAAATCTAGAGAAATTATAATTAATTTTAATTATTGTCAATGTCTAACCAATTTGTTTAATCTCTCTTATGTTATCATGTTGAACTTTATTGATTTAGTTTTGAATTTTTTTTCAACCGAGGCAACTGATATAGAAATTATTACCGATAATTGAATTAACACATTTTTTACCTGATTGAGTTTGCCAATTAGAGTATTCTACTACTTATAAAGTTTCTCTTAGCACTTTTAATTCTAAATATAAGTTGAGACAAATAATACGATAGTAACTACTATGTTTCAAGAATCATTCAATGTTAAGGATGAATATTAATAGTTATTTATCAAAGTAACTTAAAAATTTTCTACAAAGAACTCAAAGAATTGAGAAAAATTGTTCTAAACTAACATCGTAAGAAAATCGATTTAAAATTGGGATAAACTAAAGACAAAAAATAACTAATAACTACAATGTAAAACTTTTAGCTATAACTATTTTAACCAAATAAGTTAAAAATTCTATTAATAATGTATAATTATTAAATATTATATAAATTTTGGGGCCCCTAGGTATTTTGGGGCCTAAGGCCATGGCGTTATGCTGTGAGGAGCATTAAGGTGTGTAATAACCAAGTTTCGTTTCACTAGTATTTCTACTTTAGACCAAAGAGAAGAAAGAAAAAGAAGACGAAAATAGTATCGATTGAACAATGGGTTTATTTGGGCCAATGAGAGAGGGAGGTAAGAAGCTTTTGCAACATTCTACAGGTTTTACAAAGAATCAGAGAAAAGTAAGTCTGTCTAGCTTCTACAAGAAGCTTCCCATATTCTCTGGAAAATCAAAATCAAAAGGCCAGAAACTGACTCAGTCAGGGAGAGGTTTATGCCATAAGTCCTTTGAGCGATTGGTAAGTAGGGTGCAAATGGGTCAAAAACGGATAAATTATTCCATCCCAACCCGTATTTTAGGTGGATAAAAAATAAGTTATCCGGCCATGACTTCTAATTTCTAGTATCCCAAAGAACCCCAAATTTAAGACTTTACAAATATAAAAATTAAACACACTAGTTATCTATTTAGTTAACTATTTTTTAAATGGATAATATGATTCTTATCCATATTCGATCCATTTTTAAAAAGTTTATTATCCACACATTTTTATGGATAATGAGATAACTGATTTTTTTTAACCATTTTTTTGGCTAACCACAAATTTCCATATTGCTGCAAACACAGAATCACAATACATACAATAAATACACTGCAGCTGAAAGCAATTAGGAGAAGGAAATTAAAGGAAATTGAACAACAAAAAACCAAATCCCAAAAGTAGGTGAAATATCTTAATTAGATTGCTACTTAAAATCATTGTTAAAAAAGTGGAATTCCATACCACCATTAAATCTCCACACATAACAGTGGAAAATTAAAGATTCAAATGTTGACATTGGCAAAAGCTTCAAGGGCCCCACCAGTCAACCTACAAACCCTCCATTCCTGCAAAATTTGAGCCCCCATTTCCTCATAAAACTTGATCGCATTCACGTTCCAGTCCAGAACCACCCACTCCACTCTCCCATACCCCATCTTAGCCGCCTGAGCCGCCACAGCAGACAATAACAACCTCCCAAAACCCTTTCTCCTGTAACACTCCCTCACAAATATATCCTCTATATAGAACCCAGGTTTCGCTAAAAATGACGAATAATTCGGGAAAAACAACACAAAACCAGCAACCACTTCATCATTTCCGCCTGATTTAAACATCTCAGCTTCCGGGTCGGATATCGGGAGATCCAGATTTATAGTCTTATGTATGGGGCTGAAATTGGTGCAGTTTTGGTTGTCGATAGGAAGGAAAGGGTTTTGGGAAACTTCGAGGAGGAAGATGGTGAAGGTAGTGAAGGGAGGCGGGGAGTTCTCAGGGAAGAGAGTGGCGGAGAGAGAAGATTCTGTCGCGGAGAAGAGGTGGGTGAGCCGCTCGAAGACGGCCATCTGGTGGATGAATTTGTGGATATGGGGAACGTCGGCGTTGGTGGCGAGGCGGATTCGGGAGAAGACCTGGTGGCCAGTAGGAACTAAGTCCTCACGGATGACAGCGGGAGCGGGTGTCGGCGACGGCGGAGGTGCAGCGGCGGCCATTTTCTAGGGGAAGTTGAAAAGAGAGAAAATTTTGTTCCGGTGAATTTGGGGGTTAATGGTTAGTGTGAATGTTGTTGTGGGATATATAGGGCGGTAAAATACCTAGAAATTGAAGGGAGAGAGAGGTAAAATAGAAAGAAAAAAAAAGCTTATGGATGTTCATTTAGTACTTCGTTGTAAATAATCTTCCTGAATAAGCTTATTCATATGAGATTCCACCGTAAATATGTTTATCTATTTAGTACTCTATTGGAAATAAGCTTCCTGAAGAAGCTTATCACTTCGGTACCCAGTTATGAATAAACATTACCCTAGGTAGAAGATTATCCATACCGGGTATAATAAGCTTATCCATTCAATACTCCGTTATGGATAAACATTGCTTTCAGTAGAAGATTATCCATATCTGGTATAGTAGCAGGTTACACAGCAGCTTGCAGTAGCAGCTTACACAGCAGCTTCCTTCTTCTATAAATAGAAGAGATTTCAGTTCATTATGTACATCAGTTTGAATTCGAA